AACTCATTACCTTGTACTTGCAAGGCAGGTGCAGCACCACTGAGCTAAATCCCCAGCCCCCCCCCAAAAAAAAAACACTGCATTTTTTATCACACCTTATCTATATCTATTTTCAAAGGCCTTTTAAAACAATAGTTTTCATATGTGTGCCATTATTAAAACTTACATAATGAACTGCAAATCATCAGAATAAAACTCATTAGGAAAAAGTGAAAAAACACGTAGAAACTAAACACATTTATATACATAATGATAAACAAACCAAAAGTAGCAAGAAAATATCAGAGGCTCAAGCTGCTCTCCCTTCCACAAACTGGATATCTCCAAGAGAACCCAGGTGATCAGGAAGCGTCATCAGAGTGCAGGGTTCTTGGGATGCTAGTTTTCACTGTAAGATCCCGCAAATTTTAGGGAAAAAACAGATGCTCAGTAAAAATACAGAGTTAGCAAGATGGCCTGATCACAACTGAGAAAGGACACTTATACCCACTGAACAGACAGGTAAGAGATCAAACTGCTCCATCTTAAAGACAAGAGAAAAACCTGGCCTGGTCTGACTTTTCCTCCTTCCAACAGGTAGGACAATTGTTCTTACAACTAGAAAGCATTGTAACATATGAAAACATGAAAAACACTTTTCCCATTCTACTCAGCAATATTTTGACTTTCAAGAGAGTGCAGTGTTTATTATATTTAATCACGGCAGAGTAAAATATATATACTAACTTCCTACAAGAATCTCCAAAGTGTTTTTAAAATAGGATTAAAGAATAAATAAAAGCAGGATTGGTGATTTTAGTGAGATTATGCTTAAAGTTCAAAATCAGAAAAATAACTATTGTTATATTTGGGTAAAAGTTTAGGAAACTGACTATATTGAGAATTTATTGGCAGAAGTTAACTTTTTGTCATGCTCCCAGCACTTCTCAAAACAGAAGGTTCCGGGGCGTGTCCTGAGTATGTGAGCTGCCACTGTGTACTAGGAATCAGCAAGCAGAATGAAGTCTCTCTACCTGTACATTTTGGACTTTAGCATACATCGTATCAGCAGGAGGCCTTGCTAAGCCTTAGGTGGCCAGACCTTGATCCTAGAGTGCTTGATTCAGTAGGTCTAGGGCAGAGTTGAGAATCTTCCTTTCTAACAAGTTCCCAGCTGTGCTGGGGATGCACTCCCATCATGCTCCAAGCAGCGCCGTACTGGGCATTCATGTCATTGAGGCAAAGTGGAAAAAACAATGTTTGGGCATCACATAATTGGGACTTCTATCTGGACTCTGATGTCCAATACAAACACAATGACTTAAGCCTGGGCTTTTCCTTCTGGAAAGCAGAGACCAAAATAGTTACTTACTGTTCGGAGGAATGTGAAGCTATCATGATCCAGAATGCGGCGGACACAGTCAAATGCTCTCCACTTTAGAATCAGATAGGTCTGATTAGAAAGTAATTTCTATCACTCACTAGCTGAGTGACCAGGAAAGACAATCTCCAAGAGGCTTGATTCCTCACATTTCAGTGCGAAGTAAATACCACTCACGCAGGAAAGTGTTGTCAGGCACGTAGACGAGACTGGAGTGCTGGAAAAGCCCAACAGATAGCAGTATGTAATGGCTGAGTACAGAAAGAAAGACACTCATCAAATATTAGGTTGCCTTTTGCTTTGACTTTCCTGAGTTCTAACATTAATTAGAAAGGGAACAGAAATGCAATTATACCAACCCTACAATCATTAGAAGGAAAGCATAGTGAAAATTGGAGAGAAATTAAAATAAAGTTTAAGATTATTATATCAACAATTTTCAAGCATATGATTTGTGCAAAAATATTAAGAACGTTTTCCTTCCATAATTTTCAGGGATCTGGAAGCCAACCGAATAAAGTATCTTACAAATTCCACCTTTCTGTCATGCAAGTCACTCACAGTGCTGTAAGTACACAGAGGACTTCAGGAAATGAAAGGAAACCCTAAAGACTTAAGAATTCAAAGAAAACTCTGACAGTGAATTTTTAAGTAATGTTTTGTTTACAGCCTCCTTCTGAAACTGCAATATTGGAAAGTGCACACATTGATTTATTGGTTCTGAGGATGAGACTGAGCCATCCATTAAGTTGCCTTATGATTTGGGTCTCCAGCCAGCTCTTTGTTGTTATTTCTGTGCACATCCTCAGCTGAATTGGCTGCCTGAGAGCTCCTATCTTCTCACCCCAGGGTTACCAGTGAAAAGTGATCATGTATGTGAAAGTGGTTAGCTATAGAATCATTAGCTGGCACTGCCAATGACTCTTCCCACTTGATATCTTTCTCCCTAAATAAAGGGAAAAAGAGCTAATGTTTTCTGTTTGTCCAGAGATTCAGATTGGTGATTCTGTTGCTGATTATACTTTCTCTGGGGGTGGAAAGGCAGATGGATTGGTTAATGGGCACATTTGCACTGGCAAGCAAAAAAGCACAAGTGTTTTGTGTTTGTTTTAATTATAGTTCTCCATACATAGAACTAGTAATGTTTGCACTTAGTAATGTCTGTTGATTGAATGTGTCGTTGGAAAAAAAAAGGAATGGAACAGAAAAATTGGAAAGATACACTGAGATAACATAATCTAAGCAAGTTAGATTTATAGACTACACTTGACGCCTCAGATTCCCAGAGACATCTTGACTGCCCTTGGTGAGAAGCTCTTGTCTCAGCTTTCACACCAGAAGAACCTCCCTTTGAAAGCTCCAGGGAGGCTGATTTAATGATACCTGGTCAGTGGCCTCTCCCAGAGAGAACTGATTACAACAGCAGACAAACTCAAGGTGCTGACTTTCACCATGTCTTACAGGTTTCTGCCTAGAAATCAAATTGATTTTGTTCCAGAGAAGACATTTTCTTCATTAAAAAGTTTAGGAGAACTGTAAGTAGTATCATCTAATAGGAAGATACGACTGCTTCTTTAAAGATTATAAAATTAAATGACTAGTGAGAGTGCTCTTCCACTAGTAGCGCTCAAATCCTGTAGACCATTGGATATTAAAAATCTATTAAGAAAACTGACATTACCCCAAAGTCAGAAACAAATTAATATCAGACAGTGGGCTTAAAGCAATTTTCTTATACCTGTTCTACTACCTATTTTATTAGATTGATTTTGTATGTGTGTGTATGTTTGGGAGTAAATAAATGTTCTATAGCTTCTTAAATATAACTTATTTAATATTAGAGATCCTTTGTCTCTTATACCTCTAATATAGTTAATTCTCAATACACACTTGCTGAATGAAATGATATTAACTAATTAAAGTGAAACAAAGGAATGAAAATTCTGATTACTCATTGAGAAATAATGACTTATATAACAGGGAGAGCAAATACATGTGCCTAGAACAAGAATTAGACTCAAAAATACTCAGGGTACTAAGGTAACATTTTCTGTTCAAATACATGTTTTGTAGATTCAGGTCTTTTTCAAAGCATTTGTTTTGCAACTAAGTCATTTCTCCCTTCCATAATTGTGTATCGCTGGAAGTTAAAATTAATTATGTTACATTACAAACTGTGGTGACTAGGATAGAGAACTCATCCTCCTGACAGAGGCTCTAAAATGAAAATTAATGTTTTAAATTATCTTTCCCTCTCATTCTTTATACCCTGTTTTGTAATTCAGAAAGGGCTAAAAAGGATAACTAAATTGTCTTTAAAAATAATTCACGAATAACCGTGATAATTGAATCTAAATAATTAATATTACAAACTAAATCCACTAATATTTATTAAGTGCCCTCTATATGCAAAGCTCTACATTAGAACTAAAAATATTTTTATTTTATGGCAAAAAAATTAAAGACAGCTCATTCAGAAGAAACTTCCTGAAAGTTTCCTAGTCAAACTCTGGAGCAGGAATATAGCTTGGGTTTCAGGATGGGTCAGAGCAGCAGCCCAAGGCAGAAGGGGACCTGTTTAATGGACAAACTAGTGATATGAAGTTCATATTTTGAAAATTTTCCTCTCTTCTCTTCGTACATGGAGATGGACTCCACTCAAAAATTGGGAGTTGGGATTCTGCTTGAGATATTAGCTATTTTTAAAGTCTCCCATAATCCATTCCAATCTACTTACCGTCAGAGAGCTACAAGAAATTCATTAGTTGATAGACTTGACCTGAAGAAGGCTTTCGTGTATCTTGAGATGACAAGTGTTGGGTAACTTTACTGTGCCATCATGACATTAGGTTTACCATAGGGAGTAATAAACAAGCACCTAAGGTCCCTGACATCTTTTACACCAAGAAAATATATTTTATTTCTCTGTGTAGCACTTTGAAAGACAATTTTTTGATCATCCACATCTTGGTCTCTTGCCATGCTCTCTCTGACCATGCACACCTGTGGCCTTTTTCTGGACAGTGATCCAGGTGTGCTGCTCCAATCTAGAGCATCAGATCCAAATTCCCAGCTAGCAGGACTTGATGCTTGGATGCCACAACAGCACTTCCAAAGCCACCTGCTTAAAACTAAACTCACAGTGCATCTTAACAATTTCTTCCACTGAACCTACCATTATAGTAGAATCAGTGTCCTTCCTGGAAGCCAGCCTTAAAGACTGCTCCCTTGCCCTGTGCCTCCCTCTTAACATTGTAAGTTCTCTCAGACCTTAAGCCATGCTGGTGAACCTGTCAAGCCTTCATCAGCTTTATGTGGTCCATATATAAGGAAGCCTCCTGCCTGATCTCCCTCCTCTGACTCTCCCACTTTTTAACCCTTTTTTTTTCATGCTTCTGATACAGTTATCCATAATGAGAGCCGATGGCATTGTCCTCCTTGGTGTGCTCAACTCTTGTGGTCTGATCTTTAGCAAAGTCTTTGACACAGTTCTTAAATGTTAACATATGGGGAGACTTCAGTTTAATTGCATGGTAGCATGCTTCCTCCCTGAGATTTATGTATGATGTATGATGATATAATTCTGAGCTGGAACGTGGTCATTCGTTGGGCATCCTCAGTGATTCTGATGCCTGAACTATACCCTAGAAATACTATCCATGGCCCTCCCATCTTGTTTTTATGGATTTTTCAAGGCCCTCTTCCCTACATTTTCCCTATATTTTTTCTCCTGTGCCCCTGTGGGACCATTTGCTGACCTCTGAAGATGTCATTCAATTCCATTCAATTTGTTTCTCTGATCATACTTCACCCTCACCTGAAAATCTGCTTTTCTTTCATGCCACCTAAAATTACCAAGCCTTGTTAAAACACTTCCTGATTTTCCAGGCCATGATTGATACCTTCACCTTCTGTCTTTTGTCTGTTCTTTTGTAACAGCATTTGTTCATACTTTGTTTCTTTTATAACCTGGCTATATTAGTCCATTTTCTTCTGTAGCTATAACAAAATAGTTTATGCTGGACACTTTATGAAGAAAAGAGAGTTATATAGCTTATAATTTCAGATGCTGAAAATCCAAGATCAGGAAGCCAGGAGTGTAGGGGTCAGGCTTGCTTTTATATAGCAGCTCACTCTTGTGAGAACTAATTGGAGTTCCAGCAGAAGTACTTTAATCTCTTCTGAGGACAGCATCCCCAGTGACTTAATCACCTCCCAATAGGTATCACCTCTTTAAATTTCCATCACCTAACTTTTAGAAACCAGGCTCCCAACCCATGAAATTTTGAAGGACATACCACATCCAAGCCACAGCACTGGTTGTTACTCTGAATGAAAGCATCTTTAGGGTAAGCTCTAAGTCTTGGTGATTTGAAACCCTCACATTTCTAACAGAAACTCCAATGTATGAAGAATAGTTAAGTTTTTCTGTTCAAACTTAGGCAATTGTACATCTGCTTGTATCTTTCTCTGGCTCAAAACAATATGTTGGACTCCAAAAAATTATTGATTTCTTCTGAACCAAATAGATCTCTTTTTTTGCATTGTACAGAGTTACTTCCCTATGATTCTTTCTGGACAATCCTATTATATTTAATTCTACACTCTCAATTTTGTATGCAAAAAATAGTCCTATACAAGGATATATTAAAATGCCTAGTGTTGTCCATTTAAGTTGCCTAGGCAGGGCCAGGGATTTAGCTCAGTGGTTCTGCTGCCTGCCTTGCAAGTTTGATCCCTGGTACCAAAAAAAAAAAAGAGTAAAACATAAAAAGATTGTGTAGGCAGATACTGAGTGACAAATACTACCTTAGTTGTAATGCAAAATAGAAGACTTGACCACAAAAATATTAGTTGGATAAACAAGAGATCACACATATGAAACAAATAGGAATTACAGAAACATGAATGATAGAAATGCACAAAGACTACCTACAATAGAGAAAATTAATCGAAGCAGATATTGAAGCCAGGATATATTGCAAAGGGGGTGAGAGGAAATTCCAGGAGGAAATGGATGAGCATCTGAGATGGAAAACATCCATTTGGCTGGTGCACATGGCCTTGTTGTATAACAAGTTATCAGGTTGGTTACGTTGTATTAATATCTTCTGTTAAATGAGGTGATGATAACTCTGAGGGGTAATAATCATGTCATTTATTTCCAGTGTAATTGCTTTTGGTTTTTACTGTCATCAACAGGGATCTGTCTAGCAATATGATAATGGAGCTACCAGCCCACATTTTTAAAGACCTAAAGCGTCTACAAAAACTGTAAGTTCATCTCATCATCATCAGATTTCAATAACAACATCTTAGCCCTTCAGAATGATAACTTCCATACTTCTTTTCCCCTTCCTTGAATGATAAAAAAGGAACCTGTCATCAAATCCTCTACTGGGTCTTCACAAGAGCCAGTTCGGAAGTCTTAAACAACTTCAGTCTCTGTAAGTGAAGTATTAAAAATTTATCAATTACCATTTCAGTGAATGTTTTTTACTTAGAGACACATTTAATTTTCAAGGAGTATTTCCTACACAGGAGTATGCACCCTCAGATGATTGTGAATAGCATTGTTACCATTGATTATGTACTCAATGAAAATAAAGCCTTAGTTTTTTAGTTTTAAATTGTGTAAAGGCCATTTCTGTGTTTGAAAGGATATATGTATATCTTCCTCCTGAAAACTGCATTCATATGGAAAAATCTCATCCTACACTTTTCACAATCAATTAAATTGTGATAACTTTGCTTCAGTTTGGTAAACAAATTAAATAAGACTTGCCTTTTTTCCTCTTTCCTCCTCTTATGAGATGTCACTCTTATCAGTGTATACAAGTGTACAATTTTCACATTTTAGTATTTTTTAAAAACTAACAAATATGAGCATTCAATTAGTGTTATATAGTATCTTAAAATTTGAATCATCTTAAGTTTCAGCTGTGTCAAGAACTCTGCCAGTTGTTCTTTAGATTTCGTGACTGCTTTCCCAGAATGACTATTTGTTGGCTAAAACTTGTATGTTTTACACAGAGAGTATATCGTACTACTTAATTTTGTGTATAACTATTTCTTCATTTAATTTCAAATAACAATCTTTAACATTCTTTTTGTTCTTCTTAAATAGGTTTCTATTGGAAGTTAATGCAAAATTAAGTTCTCTTTCAACAGATACTACTGAGAATCTACTGATTGGTTTCTACTCTCAAGAAGTAGAAAAGCCCCAAATCTATAAATAAGTCATCATTTTTAAATATAAAAACAGGCCTCAGGATGTAGAGCACCTGATTCTTTCCTTACTCTCTACACACTGCATTTCAGAAAGTCAAAGTAACAATGATTTACTCAACGCCTTTTTTTTTCCTATATTCTTTCACCTCTTCATTTTCTCATTTCTTTTTTCTAAAATTCACTTTTATATTTATTTCATAAATATTTATTCAGCACTAATTTATGCATTATATTCTCTTAGAACACAGTGGCTTCTACTCTTGAGGATATTAGAAAATATTGATCATCTAATCGCATAATCCATGTAAAACTAACACTGTGGCAAATGAAAGTGAATGCTAGAGATCAAATGAAACAGGGAGCGCAAATATTTTTTAAAAGGACTCAGTTCTTTCCTTGAGGGGTTGTGCAATGGTCAGTAATAAAATTTTCCTCGAGTTTACTTCTGGTTTCAGACTGTAAAGGGATTCCTCTATGAAGGACCCATTCTGGACAAGGGAAATGTACAATATTGATAAATCTTTATTGAGTTCAGCAAAATAGAAACTGAGTAAAAAGCAGAAATATTTTAAAAGCAAAAGATTTCCTTTGTTTTAGATTGCCTCTTTCTTTCCATTTTCTGAGAACATGGTAGTTTTCAATTCACAACAACCTAAAAGGATCTTCAAAATATCCATTTTTGCAAAAGCGTCAAAATAACTTAAGTGTGTAGGGGTGATCATTGAAGCCTTTTAAGGATATCTTTGAGGCTTAGAAAAATTACAAGAATTATGCTTCCCACTGTGATCTTAGAAACAGATTATCCCAATCCGGAGCGCCTCTTGTACCTTCCTGATTTTTCACCCTGAAAACGCAGAGGTCAAGAAGAAATGAATATTTAAATCCTGATTTAAACTTTGGTAATGCTCTCAGGATGGAAGTATCAGCTTCTAAATGAAACCCCTAATTTCCATAACCTTATTTATTTGATCAAGAAATGAGATAATTTTATATTCATGTAAGACACCAGTGCCATTTTTTAAATTTTTATGGGGATCAAACCCAGGCTTTCACACATGATAAGTAAGCACTCTACCACTGAGCTATGTGCCCAGTTTCTTGAGTTTTTAAATCAAAGAAATGAAGAAAGTGCTCTTTTAGGATGTAATTCTGCATACAAAATAGATTTCCAACATATAGGAGCCTTAAGTAGAAATAATAATTTTCTGACTGTAAAATTCCCATCCTAATTTAAATTAGCAACATAAAATTTTGAAGCACTGGGGCCAGGTATTTAGTTCAGTGGTGCTGCCACCTGCCTTGCAAGTGCAGGGACCTGAGTTCGATCCCCAGTACCAAAAAAAAAAAAATTTTTTTTGAAGCATTGTTTGCTTTTAAGACATGATAAAAAATGCAATTATTATGAAGTATTACTTTAAAACATAAGATATATTGTGCTTATTTTTTAGAGACCTGGAAAGGATAGAGATTCCAAATATAAGTACAGAAATGTTTCAACCTATGAAGAATCTTTCTCACATGTATGTATGTATGAAAGAATGGAGAAAAAATATAATAAAATGTGTCAAATGTTCTCATGTCAACTGTCTATCACTGAATTGTATTTTTATGCAACAAGTTTTTTATTGAGAACTTTTTAATTTTGTCACCTTTGGTCCAAATAGAGTTCAATATTATGATGTGCCGACATGAATGACCCTTCTCTCTGGAAACACGCTGTTTATCCAATTGAGGCCCAATCAGAGATCAGGGTGCCAGAATGCCACATATAACACAAGATGAAGTCACTGGCTAACTGGTACTCAGGCGACCTGGAAACATTAATTCACCTCACATGAATGAGCAGTCGGCTGCTCTAAGATTTGAGCCCTTAGGAAGAAAGGTGCTATATAAATTCCAGGTGTTGTTACTGTTACTAAGTGCACTACAAAATGGAGGTAATTAATCTTTATAGTAGTTTTTATTAAGTCACTTAAATATATTTGGTTAAAGTGCACTGTGTAAGTTGTGTTAATATATGTTTATAACATCATTTCTTCATCAACTGTGTAATCTATGTTCTTGATTTCAAAAATTAACCATTGTTATCCACATAAATAGGGAGGACTCGATGTAAGAGGAAAAGTCGGGTACAGCAAGGGGCTGGCAGTGTTGGTATGAAGATGGTTTTGGGGGAGAACATTTTGTTTATGTCTGCGAATTAGGTGTGATGACCAAAAGACAAGTGATTCATGCATATCCATGAGGTTTTATTTGTTTCTTTTCCTCTGGCACCCTTAGATAAATACTTAATAGAGCTATCATTTAAGTTACAGGCGGAAAGTGAAATCTTTTTTAGAATAGAGCTCATCATTTCTAGGCCTTTGGGCTAAGATCAAGTGTAGAATAGAGCTCAACTTTTCTAAACTTGATGGAGACATTGTTCTTTTAAATATAGAACCAAGCCGGGCATGGTGGCACATGCCTGTTATCCCAGCACTCGGGAGGCTGAGGCAGGAGGATCGCTGTGAGTTCAAGACCATCCTGGGCTACATAGTGAGCTCCAGGTCAGTCTCAACTACATAGTGAGACCCTGTCTCAAAAAACCAAAAAACAAACAAACAAACAAAAAATAAATATAGAACCATAAGTCACAGGCAGGAAGGTCCCAACAAGCAACAGAAAACATGTTCACCTAGCTAGTTTTCTATTAAGTGACCTTATTTCATCTTCTTTGTCCTTTACTTATTAAAATACCTCCACTTCATCATCCACATTCATTTTACCCACCAACCGGCCACAAAGGAAGACTCCAGATGTCTCTATCTGAAGACAGTGGACATAATAGAATCCTAAAAGAACCAAGAGGTCAAGTCCAGTGTCTGATAGGGACTCCAGGGAAGGAAAAGAAAACAATAAAGTGAGATGTCAAGTTGGTTTAAAGGATGCAGGTATTAGGAAACAGGATTGCAAACTACTTGAGGGAAGGAATTGCCTCCTGTGTCTCTATTAGACACAGCCAGCACTCAATCAGCCATTGTCCATCTGCTGATCAAAGAAATATGTGCTGAGACCCTAGCAGGAGCCAGTCACTATTCTAGGTGCTGAGAATACCATGATCAACGAGCAAAAGGATGTTTGTCCTGTGAAGCTTTTATTTACCTTTGGAAATGGAGTAAATGAACAGATAAATAGTTGTTAAATGCAATGAAGATAAGTAAAGCAAAATACAAGAATAAAAGTAAGATTTGGACAGTTGAAATGGAAAACAGAGTACTGCAACATTTGAGCAGACCTGAGCAGAAGGAGGAAGCAGGCCTGCCAATATCCAGGGGAACTTCCATACAGAGGGAAAAGCAAAGAGGGCTTATTGGAGGATTATAGAAAAGCTATTGCGTCTGGGTGGAAGGGGGCAAAGCTACTCAGGGTCATCAGGAGTACAGTCACAGGAGCCCTGATGTTGTAGTAAAGTAAAGCTTTGTTTAACTTGCTTTTGTAAAAACTGAATTGAGAGATGACAAAAAAAAAGGATTTGGTTGAGAGAAAACAGTAGATAAATAAACTGAAAGAGGGAGCAAAAGAATGAGAATAGAATGAGTTTATGGAAGAAAATCCTAAACACACAGGTTCAGGAGCAGGGTGGTCATAATCCAAATGAACTCACCAAGCTCCATTACATCAAGACTCACCATGTCTGGCTCATAAATACCTTAAATATATTGTCTACAGACAAGTTCTTCTTGTCTATGTCTTCTTCTCCTAGTGAGACTGAATTTTCCTAGTCTCAGGGACCTGCCAATACCAGGGGGAAAGGGCTACTTTAAGTAGACCTTGGTGTGCAAAACTAAGGAGGAATCAGAAATGTTTGTAGTAAGCTGCAGAGGGTCCCTTCCAGCCCTAGTGCAAGCCCTGGATGTTGGCTAAAGGTCAGCCCAGCAATGACAATCTACTCTGTGTGCCACCCAATACTACAATGTGACCAAGGGGAGGGGTAGAGCCCCTGTGCTTCACATTTCCGTAGCGTCCCCAACTCTGCTCAGCCAAACACTTCTGCAAGTCTGTGGTCCTCACATTCCTCCTCATTCAAAGGACGCTGCCTAGAGTAATATTATTTAATGACAAACTCTTTAGTTGCATTGTCACTACTGAACAAAACTAAATAAGCAAATCTAGCACAGTTGCTAACCTAACAGAGTTGCAGCACTGAAAGGACTGCAGCTGTGGTTTCTGGATCACTACTGTAAAGTGACTCTTTCTTTTTCCCTTTGACTTTAGTTATTTCAAAAACTTTCGATATTGCTCCTATGCTCCCCACGTGCGACTATGTATGCCTTTGTCTGACGGCATTTCTTCATTTGAGGACCTCTTGGCTAACAATATCCTCAGAATATTTGTCTGGGTTATAGCTTTCATTACTTGCTTTGGAAATCTTTTTGTCATTGGCATGAGATCTTTCATTAAAGCTGAAAATACAACTCACGCTATGTCCATCAAAATCCTTTGTTGTAAGTATGTTTCCTATATAAACAGACAGGACACCTCTGAACTGCTTATATATATATCATGGGGTGATATATATTATAATATAGACTTTCTACAAATGCCATTGAATGTGAACTATGTTTGGTGAAAAATATTATTTTTAAAATTTAATATGCTATTCTTGGTAGCTAGATTTTAGATTGTATAACTTCATAGTGAACTACCCCTGGAGATCTTGGCTTGGAAATAGGGACCAGAATGATGAGTCAAGTGACAGATTATGGAGAAAGTTTTGTAGGTTATTCATTATGCTTGATTACTTGAATTACAGTGGCATCCAAGCTTCTCATGTTCAGAAAAGGATTCCCTTTATTAATGCAAGTAATCCATGCTTACTGTTTTAAAACTTACTCTTCCCCAAATAAAAATTCTCCCTCCCCCTCTTAAAACTTTTTAAGCAAAGTCATAGTGTGCTGCTCTAGAATAGCACAGATTTTGAAGTCCACTGGCTTCTTGGTAGGCAGTCACATTAGTTCATTAAATTAGGATGAAGGAGCCAGACCTAATCAGAAAACTACAATTTTTGCATCAATTCCTCACAGGTGCTGACTGTCTGATGGGTATTTACTTGTTCTTCGTGGGATTCTTTGATATGAAATACCGCGGGCAGTATCAGAAATATGCCCTGCTGTGGATGGAGAGCCCGCAGTGCCACCTCCTGGGCTTCTTGGCCATGCTGTCCACGGAAGTCTCTGTCCTATTGCTGACCTTCTTAACTCTGGAAAAGTTCCTGGTCATCGTCTTCCCCTTCAGTAACATCCGACCCAAAAAGCGGCAGACCTTGGGCATCCTCATCTGTATCTGGATGGCGGGATTTTTGATTGCTGTAATTCCCTTTTGGAACAAGGATTACTTTGGAAACTTTTATGGGAAAAATGGAGTATGTTTCCCACTTTACCATGACCACACAGAAGCTACTGGAAGCCAATTATATTCTCTTGGAATTTTCCTAGGTAAATTATATTTTTTTATTTCCTGGATAAACATCATTTTGAAAGAAATGTCATGAACTTTAGCAAAGGTGCATTTTTCCATTTAAAAAAATAAATGAATATAGTTATGACTAGGTGTGCTTTGTAGAAAAAAAGTTATTCCTATGTATTTATGGAAATTTTATTAAGCTTTTTATTATAGGGCTTTAGTTTCAAAAACAAGGACTGGATGATCTTTTTTTAAAAAAAATGTCCTACATTCTTTTGATTTCATTTTCCTATATGGTGATTATGAGCTGAAAAAATTGTAGTTTAGTGCTAGTCCTGAAACCCTATCAAGTTATTTGAACTTTTTTTACAGCCTATTTATAAATCAAATAAATAACAATAAAATTCTGGAAATTCAATAGTAAGTTAGCTGAGTGGAAATATCAGGAAGATTTGTTGCCTTTGTAAAGACAACTCTTAAGTCAGCAATGTAAAGATGCTTAACAAGAATATTTCTTTTTCCATTTTCTTAATTCACTCTAGGTTTTTTTAGAAAAGAAGACTATATATTCTAGTTACAAATGAATGACAAATTTAGTGCCTTAAATTTAAATTTTTTCTATTGTGTAATATGTATTCATTCTGCTTAAAATTAAGGTCATTTCTCTATCCTTTAACTGTGGTATATTATCATTTTCATTCCCACTTCCTTTCCTGTTATCCACATAGTCACCAAGCTCTTTGGGCCATTCATTTGCATCAGATAAATCTCATCAAAATATGCCTCTATCTATGTTCCTTCTGGTCTCTACCTTTCTCTACTGCCATAGTTTAAAACCTTACTGCCTCCACCCTTAGTACTGACTGGTCTTTTTGGCTTCTAGGTCTTCCTCTGCTCCTGTTTATCTGTTTACCACCCTCCCCACAGACCTTCAATAGTTTCCCTGTTACTTTTAAGGTCAAGTTTAAGTGACTTACCTAAAACTCATCATGATGTGCCTCTAACCATTGTTTCTAGATCTTTTTCATCTACTCCTCTTCTTTTCCAAAAAAACTAAATGCTTCATTTGCCCCATTTTGAAAATACTCCTTGCACATTGCTCTGCTTGGTAGCTACTTGTTCATAAGAATGTCATCCACAGGATAGGGTAGATGTTCCTTGTATTTCTTCATGACTAATTTTTTCATTGCTTCTAGTATAGGGGTTCTTCATACACACTCACACGCACACACACACACACACACTCACACTGACACTCACACTCCCCCTCACAGACACAGTATGTTCACTGAGTCTCAACATATTGGTTTAGCACCTGCCAAAGCTCTGTATTGGGTATAGGAGATCCATACCCCAGACCTTAAAGACCAGAAAGGTGCAGACAAGTAAACACACTCTCACATCAGAACGATACATGTCATGATAGAAGAGCACAGAATGTTCCAGGAACCCCAGACCTGAGGACTAGGGAAGGCTTCCCAGTAGAAATGAAAGCAAACTGAAGCTCAAAGGGTGAAGGAATAGGTGAGTGAAGGTAGAGGACAGCAGGGGTGGGAGCTGTGTCCTAGGAAAAATTATCATGTATTTATAAGCCAAAGCCAGGGAAAAAGGTCAGATGAACCACTAAAGTAGGTCAGAATGGCTGAATGAATCTTTCCATTAAGGCATGAGGACAAAGGGTTAAACACTACATGTATGTTCTACATGGATAGAGACAGTGACACATGCGCGCACACACACATTTTATCGTTGTCATCTTATCATCTACATAGATGTGGCTTGCGTGTAGCAGTCCCAGAGCTCTAGATAAAGTACATTTTTTCTATTTGAAGAATGTAGAAGTTTTAATTGTTTAATTTTAGAACATTTTGGATTTAGAGAAAAGTTATAAGGATAGTACAGTTTCTCTGTTGTCAACACCTTACACTACCATGGCAGATTTAGAATATGGGCTTTTCATTGTTTCTCTAAGTCTGTTTCTAGAATTTGGGCCACAGGAATGTTTTCTACCAGAGTCATTCCATTCTTTGCTTAACCAAACTCTCTGACAAGAGGTCTAAGACAAACCGGTTTCATAAAATTCTATTGTACAGTTTATACTGAGATTTTGTGGAACCTGAAATGCTTTCGATAAAAATAAATTTGAACTTAAAGTATCTTCCCCAGACTTTTATCAGTCTCACATACAGTCTAGATTCATATTGACATTTTTTAAATAATTGTGAAAATATATGCAAATTTTATGTACACTGTAAGGAATTAGATAAGCACACAGGATTTTTATTACAGCCAGAATAAAGTGGATAAAATGACTAAGAAGTCAGTTTTACAGGGGATAATGATGTTAAATTAAAATCTCATTATATATTTGGCCCAGAAGAATGATTCATATAGTTGAATGTTTAACTTTGTAAAATTTATTTGTCTAAAATGAGTCCAAAAGGGTGTGCATCACAGCAGTTAAATTACTGAAGAAAAATTCTTTTAAAAATGTATCTTTGTTCCATATATTATTTTTACTTAAGACCAAAAAGCATTAAGTAAATATTTCTAAGGCAGTAGTAATGATAATAAATTTCAAGATTATTTTATTCATATATATATATATAAATATATAAGAAAATTGAGTTGTATGTATTTTTGAGACATGTGTATGATTATAGTAGTCCCTTAAAGTTTGAAATCACAAAGAGCTAAAAAAAAAAAGTTTTGAATAAGCTAGAGTTTGCTTTATGATATATCTAGATCAGAATTTTAGAAGTCTGTAATTCTTCACAAAGACTTTATGTCTTTGAAACCTCTTCTCAAACTGGAAAACTCAGTTGATTTCTTTATCTTATTTCCTTAAATTCAGAAATTTTAGCTAGATATCACTGGGAATATACAAAAAAAAATGCTTCTTGAAAGCCCCAGGATTAAAAAGCCACCATATTAAGTACCCCGATATTCTACTACTGGTTTATACTCCTGAAATGTTCAGAGGTGTGTTTTTTCCCAACAGGTGTAAATTTGCTGGCTTTTCTCATCATCATGTTTTCCTATATTACCATGTTCTGCTCCATTCAAAAAACTGCTGCAAAAACAGCAGAAGTAAGGAATCACATTGGAAAAGAGGTGGCTGTTGCAAACCGTTTCTTTTTTATAGTGTTCTCTGATGCCATCTGCTGGATTCCTGTATTTGTAGTTAAAATCCTTTCCCTTCTCCGAGTGGAAATACCAGGTCAGTCACTTCTATTATTCCCAAGTATGTTGTGCCTTCTCAGAGGCCGTTCCTGCAATAATACCAGAATCTAGAGCAGTGCCCTACACATACATTCTCCATAAATATTTATGGCTTCAATGGAGTTATTTTCCTGAAGTATTTTAGAATTGACATTCTAAGGCAATCCAGGAAGGATTAATTTAAAAAGGGAGTTAGAGAGAAAGTGAGTCTAATCACCTTGCTTCTACCTGACGACACAGACAGTGCTTGTTAAGAAAGGGTATGAAAAAAAATCAAAATATACATGCCCAGGATATGCACCAACTTCTGGGTTTTATTTCCAGGAGCTAACACATATACATGGGTGTTTTGCTCCTTTATGAATCTATTTCACACACACCTGGCTGAAGCCACTGGTCTACTGCATGGTCCTAGCTCTGAAATATCATATTGAGCTCTGTGGAATTATGGATGCTCCGTGGAAAAGACTCATCTAAAAGGCCAGATTCCCAGGGTACAGCCCAGCTTCAACCAGAAAGAATCTCCTTTCATTAGTAAAGGTTTTACTACAAGTATTTTCTAAGATCTAGATATCAAAATCATTTTTGAGCTTTCCAGGGTTAGGCTGACTCTGTGACACAGACTTCAGGATCTTCTTCAGTGCATTATTTCAGCCTATTCGGGAGCTGACTTAGGATAGGAATTGTGCATCATTCATCTTGTAACCCCATTGTCAAGCACGGTGCCTGCCCCATCACAAGCCCCAATGAAAGAGAGATGAATGTACAAGTGACAAGCAGCTCTAGTGACCTCTTTCCCTCTGGTCCATGCATCAAGTTGGTGAGGTCTTCTCAATTGCCTTACTACAAAAATAGCACATGGCAACCTCAGCACCTTCATCTTCACAAGCAAGTATAGATGTCTTTCAAGCATATGAGATGTGGAAATAGAAATCAGGAGGGAGATAAACACTTAGGAGCCTTTGCTGGTCTGGATATGGAGATGAGAACATTTGTGTGAAATCATTAGAGGAGAGCCAGTCAGACAGGATATGAATAGTATAATTCATTGAATTTTAATGATCCCAGGTGTTCCCTTGAACAGTCTCCAATCTATGGCTACTTACTGAACTACCTCAACTTTTAGATCCTACCATTTCAAATTCAACAGGACTTAAGGGTCCATTGGTGTCCCTTGCTTCAGAGAATGAAATCCAAATGTTGGGATTAGCATTATAATATTTCTTTCTTCTCACTTCACCCTCACATTCTGTGATTCAGGTCCATTAGAATGTTTGGACTTTTTCTTCTGAACTTTCCTGATATGACATCAGCTTTTGCTGAAATTCTCGCCTCCTGGATTATACTTCCATTGAATAAGATTCCAGCCTACTAAACCCCTTCTTACCTGCAAGGCTGAGCCCAAATGCTCCCTCCTCTATGATACCAGTCCAGACCTCTCCCCACCTGCTTTCCATCCAATCGCTTAGATGTCCATAATAGCTCATTAGCCTAATCCAAGCTGCCTCGCATCAGTATTACTTTGGAAAGTGTCTATTGCCTCCTTAAGATTGTAAGCTTCAGAAGGGTAAGGGCCATATCTTATTCATCTCTGCATTTTCCACAGAGCTTTTCACACAATGTTGTTCAAAAAATGAAAAAGCAGCTGCTATGCTGTGAGCTTCTCTAAGGAAAACATACAAAACAGGAACACAGGAAGCTGTCAACAAGCATGACAGCTCCAAAGCAGAGCCAGTCAATTAGCGAAGCTGAGTTCATCCAAGAGTGGTAAATAGATGGAGCTTACCTCATCAACCTCACTGTTCCTGTCAGCTCACCTATGGATGTGCTCCCCTAAACAAGGCACCCACTTGTCACAGCTGTAGGGGAGGTGGAAGAAGGACCCTGCATGAAGCTGGCAGGAGTTCCTGTTTCCTGTTTCCTGATCTAGTAACTAATCTGCTAAGGGAACTTGACAGTTGATCATCTCACCTGGCTGACACTCTTTCTAAATAGTTGTATCAGTCAGTTCTCACTAGAGAAACATATTTAATATATGATATATAAATGCACAAGGATTTACAGGTAGGCTTACAATGACCACCTGTAGAGTCAGGTGTAGAAGAGTGCAAAAGGGTTGTCTGCACCCTGGAGATCCAAAGCATCTGGTCAAAAACAAAAGCCTGGAGCACACTGTAGTGTCCTATGCAAGTTCACATCAGGAGGCCAAAGGGTCTGCAATAAAATGTTGAAGAGTCTGAGTTGGAAGCCAGGAGATGTTGTTCCAGGTGAAGGTGAAGACTGGAAGTCCTCCAAAAAAACAGAAGCAGGACTTCCTTCTTTGTCCCCATAGCAAACAAGCGTATTGGTTGGTGCCACTCATATCCAGAGTGGGTCTTCTATAAATCCATGTAGCCACACCTAGAACTATTCTGATCCAATTAGTTGGGCATTTCTTCCTCAAGTTGACACAATCACTGATCTATCAAAGTGGAGTCCCAAATTTCTTCCACATCTTATATTCTGTTTGTTAATTCCTTAAGCCTTTTCTTTTCTCCATTAGCCTGCTAGGGCTATCCAAATAAAGAATCCCAGAAATGTATTTTGTGGAGGCTAGAAGTCCAAGATCTAAGAGCTGGCAATGTTGATTTCCCCTGGAGCCTCTCTCCTTGCCCTACAGTTACCTTTTCACTGTCCCCACAAGGCCTTTGCTCTGTGTGCACATCTTGAGTGCCTCTTCATATGTCCTAACTTCCTCTTCTATGAAGACACCAGTCAGATTAGAGTAAGACCCACCCTAATTACCTCATTTTAATTTATTCAATTTTTTCTTTTTCTTTTTTTTTTTTTT